GCATCAATGACATGGGATTCAAGTTCGTAGACAGAGGTGAAGAGAAGATACTGTGCTTTAGGCATTGATTAAATACAATCCAGAACATGGTTCAAGATTTGCCGGGCATTCCCACATAAAATTGGTGGTAATTTTGCTAAACGTATGGGAGTGAGCCCAGGGATGTAATCCACAAGTTCATTTCCCTTCTCTAATATGCACAAGAAAGAGGAAGAGTAAAGATCAAACTACACCCGTTAAAACAAATTTATCAAGTAAACCAGTTAACATTTCCCAATTAAAAAATCTAAGTAGTTAAAAACAAGTTTCACTTAAAACGGTTAATAAAAGAGAATCGACAAAACAATAGTAAAGAAAGGGGACAAACCTGGTAAATCAGCAGGGAAATGGTGGTTTTCGACGAGGAGGTTAAAATGGTGAAAAAGGACAAGACAGAAGCGGACATGGTCCAAAGGGAAGCCACCGGAATATTCCTTCTCTGCCCCACCAGTAGCGTCCAAGGCACGTAGGTATCAGCTATAATGGCGGTGACTGGGAGTTCAACTTCAAGGCGATCAAGGATGTCCTCAAACGGAGCTTCCATCTTGGTGAACACAGCTGCGAAGAAGGCAGGGAAGTCGTTGGCTCTAACAAGTTCAGATGGGATTACGTTGGGGATGGTCCTAAATCGGACGTTGAACGGCTTCTTGTCGAAAAAGATGAAACCCAACCACTCCTCGGTGACAACAAATGTGATGAGAATGTTGGGGATTTTAGAACAAAGCAGCTTGCAGAGGTTCATCATCGGATTGACGTGCCCCCTACCAGGATAAGGTACGGCCACAACGTGACATATGCTGCTTGATGATTCCATCGCCTGGTGGTGAATATTAAGTAAGAGAAGTCTGATCTCTTTAGCAGATTCAAAACTTTTCGATAACAGGAGCTGGTAAGAGCTATGAGAGTTGCCGCTTCATAACATGTGGCCAAACTAGTTCAAAAGTCTCGATATATCATTATTAGATATGTTAACGGGGTGGGGTAGGGAAGTCCATATTTTTAGCTGTTTTAATTATAGTTACTAAACGCGTTAAATTTTGAATGTCGGGTAATTAAAATGAAATGAAAATTAAATTTTTTTTTAATTATATTGATAATATAGACAGCATGTATATGTCAGCTAATGAAATTTGGGTGAATCAATCGTTCATCCATAAATAGTGGTTTCATCACGTTATTTGCATAAAAAATTAAAAGTTAAGTATAGTTTCGAAAAAATCAAAATTTAAATACTAAAATAGATCAAAACTGGTAGTATAGGTATTAAACATGTAATTTACCCTTAATTTTAATTTGTACCGAAAACTAAAAAGTAAAATGATTAAAGTAAAATTATTATGTTTATTTGAATTTATTTTAAAGTTTAAAATATAAATTTATTTTAATTAAATTAGAGTAGATATTATACTTCAATATAATATTATTAATATTGTTGATATATTTTCTTTGAAAGAAACTGAACTTAGTTAAAACATTTAAAATTTTATTGTTTTGGCGTTAAAATAGTGCAATCAATCAACGCTTGTATAGTATATTATTAATTATACTTATCGAATAATATGTGATTGATTCTATTATTAAAGAATTATGTAATGCATTAAGAGAAAATATAAAAAAAATAAAAAGTTATAAGAAGTTTATGTAATTTTGAAAGAAAAAAATCAACATAGTTTTTGACCTTTTAATTCAATAAATAAATTTAATAGGATCATTTGACTAAAATTTTCTATCGTTTATTGTTACAGTGTTAATGTGAATTTATATTTATGATGTGATAGTCTATAATGACAGATGACGTGACAAATGGAAAAAATTGAATTTTTTATCTTGTTCAAGGGCCAAAGTGATTATTTTAAAAAGTTCAAAAGTTTATTTAATTTTTTAAAATAAAATTTGTCTTAAAATTAAATTTTAAAATATTCAAATATTTAAAAAATAATATAAAAATAATAAAAACAAAAATTAAATTGCTAACAAATTAAAAAAATTAAAATTATTGCGAAAAAAGTAAAAAAAACGTAAATTATTAAAAATAGAAATAAAATGTTTTTAAAAAGTATGTTATACATAATATATACATGTAGCATATAATCATATCATCAACACTTATATAAAGTATTTTTATTAAATTAGTTGAGACGTACAATTCGAACAATTCTAAGTACTGTTTGTAAATACTTACACATTGTATGATAAGCTAGCATATAAAGTAACACTTAAAAATTGTCAAATATGATTAAATTTGTATATTGATGTGAGTTTTACGATATTTTCTAGATATATTTTATATAAAATTTATAAGTTTCAACTAATCCAATCAAAGTACTTTGTATAAATATTGATGATATTACCATATATTACATGTATATATTATATTATTAGGTATAATATATATTTTTAAAAATATTTTTTATTTTTTAATAATTAATAATTTATTATTTTACAACTTGTGATTTATATTTAATTTTTAATAATATTTTTACTATTTTTAATATATATTTAATTTTTTAATAATCTAAATTTTATTTTTAGTATTTTATATTTATTTTTTAAATATTTTTAAATTTTAAATTTAAGATAAATTTTAATTTTCCAAAAAAATTAAATAAACCCTTAAACTTAAAAAAAACTAATTTGGTATTTGAACAAGAAAAAAATTTAGTCAATCTTTCATGTTATTCGTTACGTCAGTCACCACCATAAATCACCACATTAGTAATATGAATTGTCACGTCAATACTATGAACCGTCACATTAACACCGTAACGCTTAACAATGAAAAATGTTGATCAAAAAATCAAATTGGATTTATTTTTTTAGTTGGAGGGACTCATTGGCTAAAAAACAATTCAAAAGTATATGAGCTCATGATGTTTTTTGCCTAAAAATTATTAAATAGTCTTAGTGATAAAAGAAATATTTTTTTAGAGAATTTAAATTCAAACAATTATATCAACAAGATGCATGTGTTACCAATTAACTAAAAAATGTAATATTATTAACATTTGAATATTAAAATATGGTACAACATTTTAAATATTATTCATATAAGATCCTATTTTTTTAGATTTTGTATGAGATGTGAGACTCGTGTGAAAAAAGTGTAAATATAAAAATAATTATACTTTTAGTAGTCACTAATTTTATTAAAAATAAAAATATTCAAAATTGTAATGAAATTTTACTACACAAACATAAATCAAACATATGGTTAAAATATTTTTCTATAAGACACAAAAACTTACAACTTAAGATTATACAAATATCATATAAGAAAATATTAAAAATCTAATCAAAATACTCAGACAAAAAATATATATAAATAAATTTGATTACACCAACCAATGTATCATAAAATAGAATCAAACTACTAAAAGAACACTAACAAATTACAAATTATAGGTTAGCTACGTGAAAAAAAACTATTTACAAATACAAATCACGTATCTAAATTTAATTCGATGGTTCAAAGTAATGAAACCTATGGTGTAATTGGTAGTATCTTTCTTTTGGTTTGTTTTTTTTTAAAGGAAAGAAAGAACAGTCGAAATCAGAGCACCGGAAGTTACTAGTGGATTGCAACGTGGCCAATGATGGTGGACTAAAACGAGATGGAAATGGGCTGTCACACTGCCCACAGTTGCCCCCCCCCCCCATTCCTTGTCCTTGAGCCAGGACAACCTAAAGTTTGGATTACTCAATTTCCTTTACAAAATAAGCATCAAGTTAAAAAAAGTTTTCGGACTATCACCTATTTATGTTTCATAGACTAATTAATTTAAGGATAAAACATATAAATGATCCTCTAATTATAGAATAATATTTTATTAAGTCCTTCAATTATTAAAAGTTATAAAATGATCACTCGACTATTCATTATGTTCCAAACTCATCATTTTATATTAAAAAATCAGTGGTTGTCTAACCTGAACGTTAACATAATGATTGACATATGATAATCTTTTGAGATTCTGGGATCACATCACACTCGGAATGTTAATATTTTGCTCATAATACTATGATTTTTTTAACAAAAAAGGACAAATTTAGAACATAATGAATAATTGGGTGATCATTTTGTAACTTTTAATAGCCGAGGGACTAAATAAAGTAACACTCTATAGTCAAAACACAATTTTGTAACTTTTAATAGTCAAGAGACTTAGGGAACCATTTGTGTACTTTCCCCTTAATTTAGAGCAATTATAGTAAAAGATATCGGAATAATCTTTTAATCCAGTTTGTTTTATTTATAATATTAAATGTTTGAATCTTGATGTTAGTTAAGAGATTTAATGTTTCTTAATTAAACCAACTAATTATTAGCTATTACAATATTAACTTAATTATATAGATGGTACTTCAAGAATATTTAGATCTCATGTTTATGTTTTATAGGGTACGAATGCTATGGGTGGAATTTTATTTGTAATAGATTTGATTTAAGTTGTATTGGGTTTTTTTTTTTCAATTAAAAGTAGGAGAAGAATATTGGGGGATCTTTAGATGAATATTGTGGGGGCTAATTACAAAGATAAATGATCGTTAAGATATCAGCATTAGATTTTACAAGCACGTAAGAATGTACACTAGTCTAACAAAGTTAAAAAGAAGACAATATTTGTGGAGTAGCTTGACAAAGTTACTCCAAAATCAATAAATGGCATTGGCAGTCTCTGGTGGATGAGCCTCTCATCGGTAGAAATCAAATCACGAACTTGCAAAACAAAAGGACCACAACACACGGTAATTCGCTATTTGACCTTTGGATTTATACTAAAAACCCTAATTCTAGGCACTTAGGCAGGTGGTGTTGATGCCATTATTTTCTATTTGGGTATGACTAGGATTTAAGATATGGAGTGACAAGGTCAATCTATCTACATAATGGAGCCGAGGCCCCACCACAGAGAGCTTGGGACGAAAAGATATTTGCAATCGGACAAACGAAAAAAGCATGCAAAAAAGTCCACATACTAGAAGATATTTTTATCAGATATTTGAGACGACGTTTAGGACATCTTCTCACATGAAACTCTCTTCACAAACCGGCCCTGTAGCAACCAAAAAGTAACATCCTTATTAATATCCAATTTTCAATGCATACTAACTATATTACATTTATTATTATAATTGTAAACGAGAAAGACAAACCTTGAGCCTGGGTCGTTTATCCGCGTTAAGTTTGCGGACTTCATACCTTATCTTCTTGCAGAACAGTCTAGTCTGACGCTTCTCTTTGTATCTAAGAACACTTGCTTCCCTTCTTGTTCGTTCTTCTAGCTCCATCATCGGCACTTCTCCCATCTACACGCTTTTAATTGTTAAACTGAACCAATATTCACTTGCAATTTCTTATCCAACTAACCATAAAGAAGGGAAACATAGATGATGATAATGAACAGAAACAAGAGGATTTAATGGAATACTAACATAGTAGCCATTGACGCTGCTGGGCGTTGAAATGGAACAATCATCGGCCAATAGAGGTCCACGATCCGACCATGCATCCAAGACATCTTGGTAATTCAAATTCAAGTTGAGGGAAACCCTTTTCTCATCATCTAATTCCCAGAAACCATGCTGTTCTGCCTTCACACCTTGGCTATTATATTCGCTCTCTTCTTCCAGGCATTTGGTGGAACTATAAACCTTGTGGTCTCCCTCGTCGTCTTCATCAGCATGGTGGAATCCGGTTTCCCAGTCCATGAAGCCCCAGCTGAGACGATGACCATCTATCTTATCCCTCGACAATTCCCCATTTTCATCGCCCAAAAGGCCATCCAATTCTTCGATGATATCGATCTCTCCACGTGCGTAGCTTCCTTTGGTGCCGTCGAATCCATAGGGAGTGGCATCTGGAACCTGCTGCTCTTCCTTCTTTGGGCTCTTTAACAATGAATTGTACCCCATGTAGTTCTCTCTTGTCCCTCTACTCTTAGTTTTACTCCTTTCATATATGCACGCCAATTTTAACTTTACGAACTGAGATATTTCTTTCGTTTTTTGTTTTGTTTTGAAAATGCCTTTTTGATCATACGTGGCACCTTATCCTCACGCTATTGGTTCGTTCGTCTATAGGGTTCGAGCTTTGAAATAGAAAGGGTGACCTTTTGAACATTTTTGCTGCATGTGATTGTGGTTCGGGACCACCTTTTTTATTGTTCAAAAGACATGATTTTGAAGTATTAACCAATGATAACGACCATATGAATAAGATATCTTCTCTCACATTAGTATTTAATTTTTTATTTCATTTCTTTTTATATCATCCAAAATCTTTTTCCCTTTTTCTCTAAATTGCCTTTTTATTTTACATATTTAAATTATTTTATTTTATTTTTTATATTAAAATATTTTAGTTTTATCTGGTCTTGAAATACGATTTTATTTGATCTTCTTCCCGTTGATATCTATTTGATTATTTTTGTTAATTTACTAATGTTTTTAAACCCTTAAAATTGTTCCTTTTGATGGATAGAAATTTACGATTAGTTTGGGCAATATTATATTAAAAAACCCCATTAATTATCCTAAAAAAATACATATAGGACTATCTCATGTCTTATTTAGCGCGAGAATGTGTATCGCTATCCACAAGGTGCTAGGAACGTCCGACGTGAACGACCTTTTCAGATGACGTAATTTAATTTTGGTATTTAATACATCGTGTTTTGCGTAAAACGATGTTTATGAGAAAATGAACCGCCCTGAGAAATCTATTGCGAGTGGTATTCAAGGTACCTCGCGTTTTCCAAAGCGCGAGGTCTTTGTTTTCCAACACAAACCCATCTGCTGATAGGCATGTTCGGGTATTTAATCTTGAAATTTTGGACAGTTAAAAGATTAGAGGCATAGTGTTCAAATTTTTATTTCAGTTGAGACAAATATAAAGACATATGAGATATCGCAAGTGAGTTAAAAATCAGATTGGAAATTGTTCAAAAGCTTGTTTTGTGTATGAAGGAAATGACAAAATGGTTGGGTAGACATATTCGAAGGTTTTTTCTGGTAGTTAATCTAAAAAATTGCATAATTTCTAATAGCAGAGGTATAGTATTGTAATTAATTTTTTGATTGAGAGTAATATCGACACACAAGATACATTGTGATCGGGGTAAAAATCATGTTCAAAAAGGTTCTAAAGCTTGTTTTTCTTATGAAAATATATGCTAACAAACTAATTGAGATTAGGGCTTGATCGATTAGGACATTTGTTATTCGAGTGGCTAGATTCCTACAAATACTACAAAGCTTCGGTTGTCCGGTTCTTTCTCAATGGTCGACAAAACATTTGTCACAATAAACCCTCGTTGAGCATGGACGACCCATTTTTTTTGGCATTGTATTGTAAAATCTGGACGTATTGTAGGTTCATCATCAACTGTATCCGAATCCCATTCGTTTCCAATCGAAGAAAACTCGTATCGATACACATTAGATACAGTTTCTAGTAAGTACACGCGACTAACAAACTCAACGTAGTCAATCCTATAGAAGAACAAGCATCAATTACATGAGGAAGCAGATATTTGAATGTTTGGAATACTTCACAGTCGCATATTCTGTCACGTAGATTGACGACGTATGCATTGTGTTGTATGTCTTCAAATGGTTTTAGTTTGTGCCTATCAATATTATTTCTAGAGAAAATCGCCTCAGTGACCAAAAATGCCTTATAATATACGATTTTAACCAACTTTTTTTGGATTTGCCAAAATGACCAACAAAATCGCAACGCGAAATAAAAATCGCAACGCGATCCCCAGAATCGCAAATCAGTTTCCAAAATCGCAACGCGATTCTTGAAAATCGCAATGCGATAGTACAAATTCGCATTGCGATTTTCCAGAATCGCAACGCGAATATGAAAATCGCAACGCGAACACATAAATCGCAACGCGTATCCGTAAATCGCAACGTGTATCCGTAAATCGCAACGCGTATCCGTAAATCGCAATGCGTATCCGTATATCGCAACGCGTATCCGTAAATCGCAACGACAATACATAAAATCGCAACGCGTATCCGTAAATCGCAACGCGATTTTTAAAGCGCCATTATAATCGCTACGCGTATTTTATTTTCAAATTACAAAAACGAATATTAAGACAAAATCCCGTAATCGCAACTCATAACCTAAAACCTAAAATCACAACTCAGTCCCATCTCCATCTCTCACTCTCTACGGCGAAATCCGTCCCCATCTCCGAAGATTTCCGTCCCCATCTCCGGCGAAATCCCTCACAACCATTCACGGTCAGAAATCCCTCACAATATTCAGAAATGGAAAATCAACCTCCGAGGGTTAGTTTTTTTAATTATTTTTATTTTGAAATTTTTGCATTATTGTAGGTTTTTCATAATGAAACTGATGATAAGTTTACTGGTCATTTCAATAATAGATTAACCATTTCACTTAGATTTCATTTCGCGTTGCGATTCTCTCGTTGCGATTTTCATTTCGCGTTGCTATTCTCTCGTTGCGATTTTCAAGTTAGTATTTGTCTTTGTCTTTGTTCTGTCTTTTGGTTGAAGTAATACAATCCATTCAAGTTTCAATTTGCAGAAGAGTCGCAACGAGAGAAATGAAAATCGCAACGTGAAAATGACTATCTGTAACGAGAAAAATGAAAATCGCAACGAGAGAATCGCAACGCAAAATGAAAATCGCAACGAGAGAATCGCAACGCGAAACCAAAATCGCATTGCGATTTTCATTTCACGTTGCGATTCTCTCGTTGCGATTTTCATTTCGCGTTGCGATTCTCTCGTTGCGATTTTCATTTCTCTCGTTGCGACAGTCATTCTCTCGTTGCGATTTTCATTTCAACCAAAAGACAAAACAGTGTTGCAAATTTTAGTTTCAAGAATAAACTACTACTTTTTATGTTTATTGTTTTTGGTATATCTTCACAGTGTAGTTTTTGGTATATCTAACTTGGTATGTTTATTGTTTTTGTAGAAATTTTTTTCGTCTTCATTGACATTAAGGAATAAAGTTAGCCTAGCCACTACAATTGCTTCGAAGCTTTCACCTGCACAAAGACAATTGTTTGAGGAAACCTGCTTCGGGCTATGGCTGAGAGTACAGCATCCGGGTGGAGATACTAATTTGACCCATTTGTGGCTTCAGACCATGACATCAAATCTACCCGACAGTATACAACGTGGTGAGGAAGAGATATGGTTTCATTTTCCACCAGCGTATACTTGTTTTGGCGGAAGGAGTTCTGCTTAATCACTGGTCTACGATTCGGACACGATGATGTAGGCCGGTACACTCGTCATATCGCCCGCCCATCATGGTTATCCCGGGTTTTTCCGGATGAGTCAATGGAGAAGCCGAACCTACACGTCGACGACCTGAAGAAATTGTTTAATAAGAAAGATGGTTTCACTCGGATGGATGACGTCGATGTTGTCCGAGTATGCCTTCTACTACTTGTGTATGCCGGCTTTTTAGGCAGAGAGGCCAGACAACCTATTCCTCGGGAGCTAATAATATTGGTAGAGGACCTGAATGCATGGAATCTGTTTCCGTGGGGTTCGTATATATGGAAAGCTACCTGGACTAAGTTGTCTACTGCCTTTGATGACCGCAAAAGTTTGCGTGGCGATGGGTCGAAATACACTTTGTCAGGCTTTGTTTGGGCCTTTAAGGTAAGAATTTCTATATAATGTTTCTAAAATTATAATTAATTATTTAACAATTACTAATTTTGTTATTATATTGTTTGTAGATTTGGATATTCGAGGCTTTCCCCAGCATGCGTACATATGCAATAAAAACGTCAAATGATATTCCCAGGGCTATTTCCTGGAAGAGGAAAAATCTGTTGGATTGGGAAGACTTAATACCATATGCGACAATAAATAATGTAAGTTAACACAAATACTTTCATATAATATATAAACAAGTTATTAATAGTAGACGTTTAACTTTGTTTGAGTTTTTATATTGTTAGGAGGCCAACATTCCATTACAAAGACTGACACCACGGAGGAAGAGCTTGCCACTGATTGGTGGCAAGCTAGTCAGAGTTTTTTTGATGGCACGGATGATGAGCAGCATCCACTTCCTCCAATTCGAGAGCCATCACCTCACCCAGAGCCATCACCCGATCGACCCGACTATACACCTCTAGAACGAGAGCCATCACCTATCCCGTCACATCATCGAGCCTCTTCTCCACCATCACCTCATGATAGGCGACCGGTAAAGAGGCCACGACATTTATCTCCTTGTTCTCCACCTCCACGGGATGAGTTACGTGATGAGGTCAATGCCTTGCGTGAGGAGATCGGTACTCTACGCGATAACGATGGTGCATGGCGTGTGGAGGTGTCAACTTTACGTGGTGAGGTTGCCGCTCTACGTGAGATGATAGTATCGTTGCAGAATGAGGTTCATACTCTACGCAACGAGGTAAGTTTAAGATTTTCCATATTTAACTTGATGATAAATTTACTCGTAATTTCACTTAGATTAGCCATTTCACTTAGATTGCTTAGTAAATTTATTCGGTTGCTGCCAATTCTGCTAAACTGTGTATTCTTTAACACTGTGAAATAGTATTTGTCTTTGTTTTGTCTTTTGGTTGAAAGTAAATTTGTTCGGTTGCTTCCAATTCTGTTAAACTAATACCCTGAAGTCAGTATTTGTCTTTGTTTTGTCTATTGGTTGAAGTAATGCAATTCATTCAAGTTTCAATTTGCAGAAGAAGAAATAGTTTACTTTCGCAACACGAAACTTAAAATCGCAACGATAGAATCGCAACGCGAAATGAAAATCGCAACGACAGAATCGCAACGCGAAACCAAAATCGCAACGCGAAACCAAAATCGCATTGCGATTTTCATTTCGCGTTGCGATTCTCTCGTTGCGATTTTCATTTCGCATTGCGATTCTGTCGTTGCGATTTTCATTTCGCGTTGCGATTTTGGTTTCGCGTTGCGATT